ATACTGCCCATGTATATGTTAGCTCTGTATTTCTCTGAAGAACTGACAATTATGATCAAAGGAACATACTGGCTAGTCGAGGGAGCTGCAGTTGGACAACATGGACATTCCACAGAGGGATCACAACACTAGAATCTATAATTCTATAAAATACATGTACATGATGCATATTAAATAACGGTGGGATCAAACTCGTGGTCAACTGCGCGTCTGACTATTTTTCATGACTTGCCATTAAGGAATTCATCCACAATAGTTATATTCAATTTATTTTTTGGATTGTTTGCTATGGAATTTTTTTCTGTTAAGTTTTTTTAATTTGGTAGCATGGGTCACACAAAAATTGCTTGTGGGCCGGATCTGGCCCACATAATTTGCTCAAGCCTGACCTACAGATGAATATATATATATATATTATCGCTTATTTTGGTGTATTGTGACTATTGTCTATAGCTTTTTTCTTTTCTTGTTCAGCTTCCCATTTATACAACTGAGCCAAGTGGACAACAAACTTGTTCCCAGGAGTGTGTTAAGAATTCATACATGTACAAAATTATGAATACCCGAAACTTTTAAAGTTCTAATAAAAAACCAACTGAGTCAAGTATTCCTTTCTCTACACAAGAAAAATGTTCAGAGTGCCTTGGCAGCAAATACAACCTATATAATATATATAAGCCCCAGGAGCTACAAAAGAAGTAGGTAAAAAAGGAAAAAGCATACTAAAAACAATCATGTTTTTCAGGATTTACCTTGACCTTTAATGTAAGTTTTATGTCAATGATACAATATAAACATGACTCTATTTCAATCACAATAGAATAAACTGTGTTACTTTATATTAGGCTAGGAATGTTTCTAATAGTATCACAGTTACAAATCACAAAACAGAACATTTTTCATTTTTAACATGAACAACTACTGGAGAAAATTGAGTCCTGTAACTCTTGAGAAGATAATAAATATAATAATATAAGGAATACTTATGTTTAAAAAAAAGTAGCATTCATACTTCAAAATTCAATGCAACCAAATGATAGAATTTGATACTATCTCAGTCAACTGTAAGCCTGGAAAAAATCCAATCACATGTTACACAACATTATTGTATAAGACTCAGATCTTAATTAAAACCAATGCTGAGTGGGTAAAAAAAATGCAAATTATGCTTACTTGTAAAGAAAAAATGTAAATTTATGTATGTCATTGAAGAAATTCAACCTAATGTCACACTTGAGATGCAGATGACACAGGTCAAAAGGTTATTCCACTATCTGGATTCCATGGAACTAAAGTAGAAAATAAAAGCATTATATGTCAACATCCTGTTTGTTATGAACAGAAAAACATTCATGAAACCTTCTACTGGTTGCAACCATTTGAATCATGGTAACCATAATAACAAATTACAGAAAATACAACAACACTGACAGTTTTTAGAAAGGACAAAACCACAAAGTAGGAAAACTGAAGAAAAAAAATCTACCTTTACCATGCAAGAAAAGCATAAAACAGATCAGAAACGCAAACTTGTATCTGAAGATATTCCAATACACAAACTTCGACAACCAAAAGTAGTCAGGCAACAAAAGACCAAAAAAAAAAAAGAAAAAAAAAAAGAAAGAAATCGCAGGAAAAAACCCAAAAGTATGACAATTCTGACAATGAAAATAAATCATCACATTGAATAACAGGCGTTGCGCAGGTTCTTGTGATTGAGACAAACAACAACAATAAAAAAAAACAGGCAGGAAGCATTATGCATTATCACTGTAACCTGTCTTTGAGAAGAGTACGACCATTATACGGGTCTCTTTTAGCTTTCTCCCCAGGGCCCCCAAATATGCTAGAAATACATAGATCTTATTAAAAAAATTAAAGGCGAATTTAACTCATTCACACTTCTGACATTTTAGTGCTTTGTGAGAATTAATGTCCAGAAGTGACAAATTGAAAGGCTGTAGGAGATTGTTGACGATGTATTATCATTACATATTGATATTTCTCCAATCTTTAAGGTTATACTTAGTGCTATAATTCATAATAAAATCATTTAAGTAAAATACTGTGTCCAGACATAAATCAGTGTTTTGTACAGAGTCAACTTGACTCACTGACAGGACTGTTAAGTTCTACATGACAGAATGAATCACTATCATATCTTCTTTTTTCGTCTTTGTGATAGAGACAAATATTCTTTGAAATGACCTTTAGAATCTGCATTATTCTATTATATATACAAAAATAAATCACATATACTCAGCTGAGAAAAATTTCTGGAGTGCAAGTGCTGTGAGTTACATTAGACATTTGATATACTGCATTCATGTGACTTCAGTTGCCAACACAATATGAAAGACCATGATTCGTGATACAACATTTCTAAGTGTCAAGTATGATGACAATGATACACCTCAGTCTGTTTCAAAGTTAACAACACTTATCAATATGGAAAGATACAAAATAAATAGATAAATATAAAAAGGTTCAAAAGTCACGTAAACAAGGAGAAGAGATCAAATTGTCAAATTAGTGGAATGAAGTTATAAGATTTAAGTTCTCAATTATGTCTTCTTGTTTTCTAAGTCGTGAATAATTTGTGTATCAATTGCATGTGACAACAACAGAAAGCTGCCAAACAATCATCATATATAGCAAAAAAATGTCTTCAAAGTTGAATATTACTGTTATGTAGATCTACTTTCACTCTCAAGTCTTATTCATGTTTATCTATCAAGATCTACAACAACGCAAGTTCCCCGAAGAAATTACAAACAAAAAATTAAGAGGAGAAAAATGATGTGGTGTAAACTAAGTTAAGAGTGGAAGCCTTTACATTAATACTTTTGAATCATGATAAATTTGAAAGGGAAACTGAGCAAATGAACAGTGTATTACATGATGTGTTAATATGATTGTATTATCTTTTGGCCAGGCATCTTTGATATCAAAAGGTACAAAAATAGTAAAATGATTAAGATTCGCAGTTAAAGCTGCATGAAAGTAACAGCATTCGATGTATTACAATCACGACCATTGAATAATGACGAAATAATACCAAGTGTTTGGCCATATTTTTTAAGTTAAATTTTAAGACTTTCATGTGTTCTTACACCATAGTAGACATGACGGAATATATTTGTTCCACAGCTGTCCCAGCCATTCACAAAGCTCTTTTCTCTTTTTTTCCCCTCTATGACACTTTATATTTTGTACATTTTAGACAACGGGTGAAACAAGAGAGGCTTGCAGTACGCTAGTACAGCTTGGTATCTTTTTTTCAACAGGTCAAAACAGCATATTCTGTGCTATACACATAAATCTTGCACTATTGACAACTCAGACTCTGAAAATTCATAATATATTGCTTCATTCCTGCCATTGCACATATTATTCCTGCTTCGTCACCAAACTCTCTATTTCATATTTGAGTGTTAAGTCAACTAAACGCGATCACGCTAATCCTGTCCTGCATTCATATTTCATTCAGTCATCACTCACCGCATTTTGATCTTGAGGGTTCTGGTCACCGTCTTTCCCTTGACTAGCCTGATTTTCCACATTTTCTTCATTATCAACATCATCTGGTGCTGTATTACCATTTTCGTTTTCACTCCGATTTGAGGCAGAGTTTTCCTCAGTAGGTTTATTTTTGCCAGAAGCAGTATCTGGGTCATTTTGACTCTCACTGTTTCCATCTCCCTCACCATCGTCCCTGGCAGCTTCGTTACTGCTTTGGTCGTTAATCTCATCAGCCTCACTTTTACTTTTAGTGTCGACATTGTCATTTGCTTTTGGATCTGAAGAATGATCATCCTGTTCTTTTTCTTCAGCGGGATTTTCAGTCCTGTCTGTCTCCGAACCGGGCTCCTGTTCACCTGATTGACTCTTGGTTTCTGCTTCCGTGGCTTCATCATCATCATCTCTGTTTGTATCTACAGTATCATCGGCTTTATCAGTGTCATCAACTGTATCATGTGCTGCATCATCGCATTCTGTGTCTTGAGCAACCTCATTTTCTTCCTTGTTGGGGTCATTTTCTTCTTTGTTGGGGTCATTTTCTTCCTCCTCAGCTGCACCAGAATTGTCTTCTTCCTTGGCCGTGTCTACATCTTCTCTTGCAGTGACATTGTCTTCTTCTCCGACTTCATCATCATTCTGCTCAGCTGCAATACTACCATCATCTTTCCCAGCCTCGTCTTGAGCATTCTCCTGTGTTGTATCAACAATTTCATCTTCAGGCACATCATCTTCAGCATCTTTCTCTTTTCCTGCCCCAACAACTTCAGTTTCTCGAGCAGTATCAACCAGAGCCAAACTGGCGGGTGATTCCTTATTACTGTTTTCATTTTCTTCGTCAATAACGCTTTCATCTCTAGCAGTCTCACCCACATTTCGTTGAGAGAACGGATCAACAGAGGAATCCGAGGCTGTGTACATCCTTGCCGTGAGAGCGGCATCTGTATCTGATGGGCCATAGTCTTCCTGATAACCTTCGTCTGTTCTCAAGGTCGGCTGATCATTTTCAGTGCGGTTGGTATAGGGAAGTTCCAACTTTAATTCCCCGTCTGCAGGTTCATCTTGACTTGGCCCATCCACATCCTCCGACACCATCTCGTCTGCCACAATGATCACAGCTTCTGATTGTTCCTCAGAGCTAAGCCACCTGATAAAGCAGAAGGATGTCAAGAGTTTTAAAACTCCATAAAATCGTTAAACAGAAATTTGTTAGTAGCGCACACGGTTTATAACTTCCACATGCAGACACAAGGTGAACATAATTTTTTTAAAAACCGCTCTGTGTCAGTCATAGCCCTGGGGATTTGGAAAGGAAAACATATTTTATCAGTGAAAATACCTGATTATTGAATTATTATGAAACTGTAAATAAATAAAATCTTAGTTTACAGAAAAAAGTAACATCTGTGTATTAAAAAATTAAAAGAAAATCTGTAAGCAAACATGGCAAGACAACCTCAGTGAAGAGACTGTTAGGCAAAGCCTTCAGGTGGCTTTTCTGAAGGGTAGTCATCGTAATCCTTGTAGTTCTGGGACAGATCACCATTTGCAGAAGGTTTTCCTGCATTACCATACAAATTTTCATCTTCATCATCTGCCATTTCTCCTTTGGGAATTGTCACTGCATTTTCAACATCAGTCAGCCACCTGAGAAGGTAAGACACATGTAAATGAAAGATACAGTGAGTATTTACATCTTGAGACTACTATGTTACAACTTGATAACACAATCTGACAAATCTGAGGTATTTCAACTTTAGAGCTAAGAACACAACTACTTTTTAAAATAATCCATTCCTTCATCAAGTAAATATTGTAATTTACTTAATTTTCAAGCATGTTTTTGGGAGGCCTAAATTGTTTTCATTTTAAATAGGCTAACCAACATTTAAACAACTTCATTCTAAATATATTGTATAAACCTTTGTTTCTAATGCAGGAAGTGCAGTTTCTACAGGAGTCTATCACAAGTAAACCCCTAAAAATGAACAAATTGAATTCATTAGCTGGCATAATTCTTTTGATATAACCATATAAAAATTTCATTAAATACGATTAATGCATTTTATTTAATTACAATTACCTGTGAAGTAGATATCATTATCAATTAGGCCCATTTTTTTTAAAGACAGAAAATTGATAAATAAGAAAAGATCTACTTCTATTTTGCTAATGTGGAACATGCATATGTTTCACATGAAATGAGTTGTAATTGACATTGTGAGACGAATAAAATGGGAGAATGCCACAACAGAAAACTGGAATATTAGAAGGGAGGAAAGAAGCAGATAATTATCTAATTCAAGCAATTGGAGATACAGGTGGAACACTGAGAAACCTGGAAAAAGAAAATGAACGAAATGAAATCAAAGAAAGCAACATATTTGTGCAAGTCAGTCAATGTGAGTTGCCTGTCTGGCGTGGAAAAGAAAATTAATTTTTAAACCCATATTGCCATCAACCCCATGTCAGGGGTGGGCTAGTGAAATATTCCAGGGTTTTGGTAGGGTGATTTTTTAATTTTTCTTTTTTTTTTTTTGG